AACTACCGCGAAGGCCTAAGGCCTAAGCACCCATTGGGTACCGTGGGGCTATGGGGGATACATGGGAAAGGGGGGACGCCACACAGACTCTGGCGAGGGAACACGTGTGCATGCAACATGAACACATTCTGGCTCCGCCTACGAGAACCGCCGGGTGGTACCTCCGCGTTCGACATTCACAGACCATCTACCACCTACGGACAATCACAACATCCATAGCCAAGAGAAAATTTCTCCTGGGACGGGACTCGAACCGCACAGCGCACGGCGACTGATCAGGAGACTGAACAGTCTATTACTGCGGCCACCGCTGATGCCACATTGATAGATGACTCATTGCCACTTTGAAAATATTGGGATATACACCTTGCATCTCTTGTCATATTTCAATAATGCTTACTTTCAGAGTATTTACAGGAGCACAAAGATATAACGAGAGCTCGTCGTCACGGTCAGTTTTTTTTTCTTTTATTTGCGTGTGAGCCAATGATTTATGGTGCTTCCAAAAATCAAATTCACTTTTATCTTCATCCCTGAAGATGATGGTGAACTGTTGCGGCTGCGGCTGCAGATTTATATTCTGACATTAACTAATAATTTTTGAAATCGCTTTTGCACGTGCGTCAGGTTTCTTAAAAGGCAAGTTTTGAAACGAGGGTCTAGCAATGTCGAAACTGTTATTATCATATTGTATTCCAACTGGCCAAACGCTTCTCCATTTCCAGAGTAATATTTTTCTTCAAAACGCCGGCAATGGTTGAAATGATCCTCGATTCATTGTATTGGTCAATTGCACAACTCACCATAGGCACAACTTTTGAAATAGTGACATAATGTTCGGCAGAAGCCTCTCTTGTTATAGCTTCCAGTGGTCGCAGAACATGCGCCACATTTTAATTTGGGTGGGTTTTTCGATATTTTGATACGATATATTGAATTTTTCGATATTTTTAATTGTTGTATATATCGATATTTATCGGTTTTTCGATTATACCGTTGCATCCGAGCAGTGGACTGAATTCGGGCCAGTAAATAAACATGTTACAGGATTTTTTTTCCACGGTTAGATGAGTTCAGCTAAGGGGATGTTTGGTTCCAATATGAAGGCGCAGCGACACACATTTCAAGAACATCACTAGCTGGTCTTCCCCTTCAATTAGGTACAATGTGGAGTGGTAGACCCGTTCTCCCGATTTGGCACCTTGTGATTTTTATATGTAGTTTCTTGAAATCCCGTGCTTACGTCCGACCATCAAATGACCTACAAGATTTGAAGACCAACATCCAGGAAGAAAGTTTAAACATAACGCCTGCTATTCTGGACAGAGTGATGACACACGCCAGAAGTCGGTTTTACTCAGTGTACTATGTAAAATGAAACTTTACACTGTAAAAAATCAACTAAACGTTCTGATTCATACAATGGATTGAAGTTTCGAAAAGGGAAGTCATGCTGCCGCCCATGTATTAACTGATCAGTAACGCTCCTTCTTCTTGCTATTTTCCTTCTTCCCTAACATCTTCTTCTGCTTATTAATAACGTCTGGATCTGGCTTACTTATATACCACATATCACTGCCGCCACACACAGACGTTAAAATGACGCGTTTATAAAATGCGCGTTTAGCATTAGATGACGTGGATGTAGGGTTCCAATTGCGTTTAGTCGAACGTGCTTTTTGGTTTACATGCTATGTCAATATTTGCCAGCGCGTAAAGCAGGTGCGCGCAGGCTCTAATGCGCGTTTTTTTTTTGCAGCGCGACAGTTTGAAAATATGAACGGACAGTTATAAAAACGCCTGACTACCAAGGCCACGTCCTATGGATCGCCATGGCAAGACGCGATTAAAAAGTAGTAGCACACCCAAATATCGCGACTGCATGGTGGACTTTTTCATGGAGGAAGAAAGCTTCTCCATTTATTGTGCTGCTCCACAATAGAACTACAGCAGCCCATTTTATCCGTTTGTGTCAGTACAAGACTTCGTAGAGAGCTGAGGAATCACGACGGTGCAGTAATAGCGAAAAATGGAGTAAACCTCTATTTTATTTGCAGTAATAGTAGCAGTAGTAGGTACTGTTCGACGTGAAAACACGAAAATCTTAGAAATCACTAAATGAATTTTTAAGATTTTTAGTGTGTAATGCGTTCAAAATGCTTATGAAAGGTTTTACCCATTACTATTGTGCGCTTTTTGAATGTCAATTATTTTTTCAATTCAGTTTATAGTTATAAGACAGCCTAATGGTACAAAAAAAGCTTATCTGGATTAGTGCATTTTACTGGGACGTTACTGAGATACAAGGTGTTCAAGTTTATATCCTTCAATTTACACATTTTTAATTTCTTTTGAATTACACGTATGCCGCTTTTTACTTTGTCAGCGCGGTCAAGAGACTTTCAGATGGAAAACTATTTTCGCTTGTTTGGAAAAAAGTTGCTGAATAGTTTGCGACTAGGAAAATTCACCAAATAACAGAACGCTTAGAATAGAACAGGAATGTGAGGATAATCCATTCATAAAGAAACAAGAAAGAAAACAAAATCCACAGCTTTTTATGAAGCGTATTTACTATACAAATACTGGAATATACTTGACATAATACGGACCAAAACCTGCGAGTTCAATTTTTTGTCAAGATGGATGAAACTAGAAAGATCTAGAGACATTTTGCACTTCCAGTTTATTTCTGCGAGTTTCATATTCGGTTGATTTTGATAGCTACATACTCTGAAATTACTCATCAACAGTCAAGCGGAAATTCTTGTTCACGTTTAAAGCCTTTTGATCATACCACCAGGGGCGTGCTTAGTTAATAATCAAAATACCCGGCTTAAATTTGAGCGCACCGCCCGCTCGTAAGATAATTAAATGTGGAAGTTTCCTAGTCTTTGGAACACAATATTATAATCTAAGTAAGCACTAAACATTTTTGAATATCTTAAAAAATGACGTCACGCTAACCAAAAGTTTCTTATTTGGAGAATTGTCATACTGGAGCCTCTGACTGAGTGACGACGCCATATCACACAAGCTGTCATTGGCACCACAAAGCTATATGTCCGTAGTTACGACTAGATGGTAGAAATGTGTAAAAAATGGAACAGACCTTCGACTTACAAATGCTGTATTATATCTAGGTGTACGAATACAGGCATAAAAGTTTCAGAAAACATTTTTACCTGTCTTCTCTATAGAGGAATTAAAAAGAAGCGCAGGGTAATGAACAGGGACGATAAAATGCCTGTTTAGGCAATATCATTTTTTTGCTGTCTATCTCATTTTGATGTTAATAGGTAATTAGTTAATGTGGTAAAAAGGATCAAAATAAATATTAATATATCTGCCTATTATGATGGATCAATCACTTAATTACTGTAATCAAGAACGGAGACAGATTTAATTATTGCTTTCATTTTGAGATAATGTGAATACTGTTACAATGCTTATTTTTGTGGCTAGAGGGGGAATACTGCTTTAACTTTGACCTTGTCTGTGTCAACGTTGAGATGCATAAGCGTGGTTCAAGAACCAAAAAATCTGGCCAAAGTAAAAAAATATTGTATAATCTAATTGTTCCACGATTTAAAATAGTCAGTTGTAAGGCATTTATTTGCCAAATGACACATAACTTTACAACAACAACAGGCAATTGATATTTTTCCGTAATTAGTGAATTCAAATAGGTTGAAAAAAGACCATGAGGGTCCGCTTTAGTTCGAACAGTAGCATCTCTATCCGACACGGAATATGTCAATTTTGGCTGCAACTTGGCAATTATGTGACATTATAAAATATTACATTGAATATACTCGAAAACATTTAACAAAATGGACAATTTTTTTGCAAACATAGTCATCATATCACCCATTTAGATATTTTGAGGAATCCATATTTAATTCGTTGTTGGCGAGCTTAAAAATACTGAAACAAACTCATTTGAGCGCTGTCAAAACAATTCAGCAAACACAGCCGACATATTGGAACCTCTCTTTCGATTTTTGAACAATCCGTATCTAGTTCGTTATTAGCGACCCTAAAAGCACCTGAAGCTTTAATTTGAGCTCTATCAAATCATTTATTTTGCAAAGATGGACGGAAATGGACATTATATCAACGACATGGAAATGGCCACATTTTGGGAAATCCGTCGGGTGGTACCTCCGCGTTAAGTGTGAGACCGGCTACCATCCACGGATAATCACAACACCCACAGCCAAGAGAAAACTTTCTTGGGACCGGATTCAAACTCGCGCAGGGCACGGTGACTGATTAGTAGTTCCATAACGTCTACGATTCTAATATTATTCACAACAAATTTAAATTTTTAGTAATAGATTAATTACAATAAAGCGAAAACTGGCATGCTAAAAAGCAAAAAACAGGAAGGAAAAAAAGTTATTAGAAAAGTAAAAAAGTACGGTTGTGACATCAAGTCATTGAAGTAATGCTGATTTTACTTTACGTCGAAGAGCTGGCAATGTGTATTGTTAATACAACTTTGGAACAGAATTACATATAGTAGCAACATTGTTGAAATAGCGTTGTTGAGTATTGAGATATCCTGATAATTTTATCTCTAAGTGGTCTAGAATGGAAATCATTGCTATTAAGGTGGTTTAGACGTAAGTAATAATTTATGGAGAAAACTGAGTAGTGATATTTAACCGAATAATTTATTTTCAACCAATTGGGCATTAGATGTTGTGCTGATACATTATCAAAAAATGAAACGAGAACAAAATTGTTTTGAATCAATTGTATTAGGTTTTTGGTATAGTATAGATATTCCAGTAATTTAGAACATTATATGACCAAGGATTCACATATTTTTTTATGTAACTTGTAATTTAGTAGATATTTGTTTCCAATTAGAGTACGTAGCCTTATATACACTTTTTAACATGCAGAGCTATACATTTATTTCTCTAGAAATTTTATATATCCATTTTCGGACCTAGGTCCGAGGTTTAACCATAAGAGCACTCCACTATAACTTACTTGGGTCCGTAGCGTGGATGCGATATAATCGATTGAACAGTGGTATCGCGAAGTTGAAAGTTGCCGTAAGGCAGAGGACTCTTATCTGTAGAGCCGAGAGCGCTGTCCGTGAAGTCCGAGTTGAGGTTTTGCCTGCAACAGAAATAGCATGTTCAGAGATGTTTGGTGCAATCAGAGGAAATTGAGCATTTTCATATACAGGGTCACAATAAATCATGTAAATCAAATTGAATCGTCATTCCAAAAACAACAACAATTTTTTTTCCAAAATGCTTTTTCGATGGACACGCTTCCTTAACAGAAGATGACTAATAAAAAATGTTCAAAAATTTTTGAGCGTCTATGATCTGGATGGAAGCGCGTTTTCTATGTAAATCGTTCCGAATTTGATGTCAATTAGCGTCTGAATTCACGAGTGGCAACAGGTGACTAGTTTTTGACAAATATTTCACCCCTAATTTGGCATTATGACCCTTTAAAGTTTTTTTTTCACGACGATATTCAAATTTAGCGCCCTAAATTATACAATGTACGAGGTCTGTGAATTAAGTGAAGAGACTGATCTTTTTTAATTTTCTTAGTCAAATATAATTACAATTTTACATTGTCAACCTCAAAATAACTTCCTTCTCAACCCACACAGTACTGGAGTTAGTCCTTCCAGTCCTGATAGCAGTGGTGGAACACCGATCCTAGCCTAGGCTTTAGCTGATCGGTTACTGCCGCTTGGGTGTTTTCGACTGTCCCAAAATGAGTTTCCTTGGGAGGATTTTCCAACTTCGGAAGATAAAAAAGTCCCACCGGAATGTTTCTACTGACCAAAAACTCGTTTATTGTCATTGTTGTGTGACAAGGAGCATCATCGTGATGCAACTTCCATTTATTCTTGATCTAATGAACGATGGTGTGAGTCAAATTTTACTTTTCCCTGATCATCAAATCTTGAAGATGAAGGCCTTCCGCTTCGTGGTTCATATTAAGTCGACTCGCTCTCTTCTAAAATGCCGGAAACCACCGAAAACCTGGGCTTTTGACAAAATGCTGTCTCCATAGGCCTGCTGAAGTTTAGCAAGAGTTTCTGTTTCACTGTCTGAAGCACACCGTTGCTCGAAATTTATGCCACTCATTTTTAGAAACACAATAGGATAAACTGTTTTACAAAAAATCGCTACCGACAACCAAATCACTCAAGCGAGTTCAAACTTGTACTGAAGGCGGACCACATGTTGACAGGTCGAACACCACGTCGCCAGTCCAGTACTCAAATGTACAGCCCTCGTACATAGTACGTACAGATACGTACGATAAAGGTCATTTGAACCGCATCTAAGATATATTAATTCTTAGTGATAATGTGTTTCCAATCACGCTATATTGCGTACCTTTAACATAATCTACGTAAATTAATACGTTCCTTCTCCTTCAAATAATACCGTGTAATACACGTTCATTGCAAAACCAACTCAAGTCAAGTGACCCGATGCTTAAATAGGTCCTCTCAAAAATAGTACCGGAAAACTTGTTTTTTCTTTTCATATTTATGTGCTATTGCATCAAAATACCAATTTAGAATTCACCAACTACAAGTTCTGATATAACTGAAGGTAGAAGACGGGTGCAAGCTCGGACCCATGGCCAGGAATATCTCAAGGTCAGAAGTCAATTTTGAAGACATTGGAGCAGATCTTTTAGCTATTTTGATTAAGGAATTTGGTTCTGAGTTAATAGATATTACCTAAATTTACCTTTTCGAAGTTTCCAGTTCCAACACAGATATCTCAGATTCCAGAAAAATGTATAGACGGATTTTATAACAGCAACATAATCTTGAGAGTAAAAAAAAAGTTCTTCAACTGCGGATATGGAAAATATTTCAGTGTAGGCTTTCATTAGCCTTCAAAGTTGAGAAGATAAGTTTTCCATATATTAAAAAAACTATGTACTACTGAGTATAGCTTTGCTATAGCGGCTAATTCTTTATTCATAAGTAATATCATAAGGGTATCTAATTTTCCGAAAAAATACTAAAAACACGTTGCTAAGTATATTTTAATAAGTAGCATGAACGATGGTTGCACACAAACAATTAGATGCCCGAATGGTATTTGACAAGACTATTTCATAAGTAACAAACTATTCTGCATACACCATACGTAGGTTACAAAACATACTACCTATTATGCATGCATACGTAATTTCTGGTAACAACAGCTGTCCAGTTTTGCCTCAGGTATTCTCGAAAAAACTGCTGGCAGGTGCTGTCATACAATTTTTCCATCTAGGAACCATTTGTAATTCAAAATTGCACGTTTGTGATTGGTAGAAATTAAGAGACGAGGGAAATAGTCTGAGAAATCGGCAATTTTCATTATTTTTTACCAAAAGTGCACAACAAAAAATCCGAAATAATAACCAAAATTTAAATCTCTTTGAAACCTAATAAGCATTCAGGAAATAAATTTTTAATTATGCTCACCAATTTCTAAAATTTAGAATCGCAACTAAATTTCTTGAGGTTATTAGTCATGCTTACGTGCTGCTGACTAGGCATGTAGCCTCTGGAGTAAATTGGATAAGTCTCATTTCAAAGGCCTCCCCATTCCTCTGCAACTCCGTAAGCCGTTTGCCTGCCAGTACCTTACAGCTTTTTAGAAAACAATGTTACTACTATAACGAGTACAAGTATAAGCTTGTAGTTTCTGAAAATCGGTTTGTAGCGGCGGAACTAGAAGCAAAAAAGTAAAAAAAAATACTCAAATTTCGATTTTTGATAGTTCAAATGCTCATACATTTCAGAAAAAATGTAGGAGTTAAAAATTGATGGCTAGGATAAATTTTTTGGTGGTATATGTAACCATTAGTATATATGTGAAATATCACAGATTTCATTACATTTGCCCTAAAGACTTATGCCAAATAAAATCCTTGTTGACTGCTGACCATGTTGCATGGCAAGTGCCTAGTAAACCTATTGATGAAATTTTTTGATAAACGCAAAAAATTATTTTTTAACATTGACGTTTAACAAAAATTTCACAAAGAGGAATCACTTGCATCCTGTATATAATAATAAGACCTTTTTTATTCCATTGTAAGATCCGTTTACACATTTTTCTAGAACAGTGTCCGTTTTGGCCAGATCTAAAAATTGGAAAAAATCATGTTGTAGCAATCCACGCCAAAAAAATATTTCAAAGTACTGATATATAATAGATCTATTAGCATGCAAATTCAAACAGTTTACTCTAATAAATTGCCACGGCTTACCCACTATATAATTTGGAATACGAATCCCTGTAGAAATTCAGAGGGCAAAACCAGCCATCCATGAAAACTGGGATCATAAAGTCGTGGATGCACAAGCTCGTCTGGTTGAGATTGCATACAGAGCTTTAGTATTTTAGGGTATTATTTGACCTCAGCACACGTTTCGTAATTACACGACTCCAGAGGGGTTGGTCCGTATAAATCACTGACAGGCTTATCTGCCGTTTCCAGTTACCCCAATGCAACCAAGGATAGATATACAAATGGTGTTCTGTTTTGTCACAAGGGTTTACATGAAAAAGAGAAGAAACAATACGCTGCGTCAAGAATATCGAATAGCGAATCGCAGCCAATTGGTTGAGACTGTATAGGTTGAATGGAGGCACATTCACCAAGGGATAGCTGGATGGCGACGATTCTAGCTATGTACAGGGTGCGGCAGAGAGGACGGACGAAGGTGGGGAGGGTGCCGTTTGACTCGTGAGATCCCAGCATTATTTTACCAGTTGTCGTTATGGAGCCTTGGACGGTTGGAGCGCGCGTTTTCGCCTTTCGTCCCCGAAATAATGAGTCCGTCATCGTCGTACAGCGTGAGTTTCGTCGCCACTTCAACATTCATCGGCATAGAGCTATTCCCTCTCGAAACAACCATCCTTCGTTGGTTGAATCACTTCGCAGGCGTGGTGAACTGATGAACAGAAGACCAAGAGGAGCGCCGCGAACAGTTCGAACTCCTGAAAATGTTGGACGCGTTCGACAGGTGTTTCTTCGCAGTCCGACTCGATCTGCCCGGAACCTGCTTTGCTGCACTTCGCCTTAGTGATCGTTCGGTAAGGCGAATTTTGCATATGGATCTCCGCTTTCACCCCTACAAATTGGCCATTGTGCAACAGTTACAGCCCGGAGATTATGCACAACGAATGAACTGGCACGTGAGATGGAAGCACTGATCGATCAAAATGAGAAACCTCATTTGTTTATGAGTGACGAAGCCCACTTTAATCTAAACAGCATGGTTAACCAGCAGAACTGTCGTTATTGGGGCTAATGAAAATCCGCAACAGTTACACGAAAGACCGCTGCACAGTCCAAAAGTAACCGTTTGGTGCGCTTGTATCGCAAACTTGCATCATTGGCCCTTACTTCTTCGAAGACGGTAATGGTCGTGATGGTACCGTGAACTCAGAGCGCTACGTCGATATGATCACCAATTTCTTTCTCCCTGAATTATGACGGCGACGTGCTCCAATCCGACGTGTGTGGTTCCAGCAGGATGGGGCGACCGCCCACACAGCCCGAGCATCCATGGACGTATCGCCATCTCTTCCGTGGTCGCCTTATTTCAGGTTTTGGCGATGTTTCAATGGCCTCCTCGGTCCGCAGATTTATCCATATGCGATTTTTTCTTATGGGGATGGCTCAAGGCTAGAGTATACGCGAACAAGCCCCGAACTCTGGACGAATTGAAGGGCGAAATTCGCGTGGAAGTCGCCCAAGTTGAGAGAGCGATGTTCGAGGAGAGTCTACGCGAACTTCCAAGAACCGCCTCCAGCCATGCATCAAAGGTTTCGGCCACCACATGCATGATGTGATTTTCCACACTTGACTGTCTCAAAAGCTATTTCCTTGTGAACCTGATTTCATCATAAATTTGCTTTCGAGTAAAATTAACTATTTTATGATTTTTTTAAAAAACCGTCCATCCTCTCTGCTCACCCTGTAAGTAGATGTAGTCTATTTGTCATTGACCAAAATTCGTTCGTCCGACCAAAGATAGACAGCCGTGGGCAGCTGTTTCGTGCTTTTCGGCAGAATGAACTAGGTTGGGTCTTTCGGACAACAAACATAATTTATTTTCTGGAAAACAAAATATGGGGCACTGAGCAGCGCTTATAGGCATGCACTTTGAGTGCCTGCCTACCTGCTCAGTTCTGTAGATGGCCGATTTAACGATCCAGGTAACAAAGTTAAGTGAAAATAGAGCTAAATTAGATTCTGATTGATGATTTTTATATATACTTTGTAAATATTATTAAAAAGTAATATCCGGCACTTCCGGTCATAACTTGATCCACCAGATGCTTTGAAGCAGGATAAATTGACCTCTTCTAAATTGTTTGTATAACGTTTTAGAAAAAAGTTTTATTTAGAGGTTGTACGATTCTTTGTATATTGTCACAAAAAATCTTTTTCGAATAAAGTTGTACTTTTTCAAGAGGGAGATTGTATTTAATAGCACTGACAAAATTTAAAACTAAACTTTATGAGCACCGCTTTAAAGCATTTATTTTTTAAACACTCATACACATAAGTTAGAATTTATATTTGGGCACCTTACTTAAAGCGTTTGTTAGGCCGGCTGAAGGTGTCTGACAGTGCTGGCTATTAATTTGTAATATCCATGTTAATTTCGATAAACTGTACCTTCGGAATAGAGGTCAGTTGCAATGTTTTCGTTGGTTGTCCCAGAGCCAACCTAGACCATGCTGATGAGTAGTCAAGGAGCACGAAACAGCTGTCGATGGTTGGATGTCCTTTGGTCAGACGGACAAAAGCATCAAATTTAGAAGGAATTCCATATGAGCGTCCCACGTTTCGTCTGAATATTCAAATGTCCCTTCTTGTTACGCTTTCGGGAAGGAGACATCACTGAAGAGGAAGCATTGGAAGAAATACTCTCAGTTTCATTTGCTGTATCCGTAGACCGACGACATGTTAACGTATGAGCACACGCTATGTATGCACCGAATATGAACAGCAACTGCCGGCGATATCCCGAGCCTCAGTTCTATCTTGTCGAATCCTGCACTTGTTCGTAGTTTTATGGTCGAATGATCAATAACTATTGCAACGCTTAGGCGGCTGCCGCTCTGTTGTGCCTGTTCGCAAATGGACTACGAATAGGGTATAAGTCAAGTGCGTCTCATCGCCTCACCCTCCCGGGCTTAACCACCTCCCGGCACCCCTGTGTACGGCTTGTCGTCTGCTAGCAGATGTCAACCGCCGCCGAAATGCTGCAGGCTCGGCAAACGGTAACAAATCGCGGCGTTCTGGTGACTATGTGGCTGTCCGCTTTCCGAGCGCTGACTTTGACTCCGGCGGCGACTTCGGGAAGCAATCAGTTGTGAGGTTCCTTTCCCTGCCCTCCGCTCCGTAACTGATCGCCGCGGTAGGGTCAGCGTATTTAGCTTTGATGGTCTTAGTAAATTGACAGCCAACTGGCACGCTTGGGAAGTTTGGTTATTAACGGGTGATTTTTTAAGAGGTATAGGATTTGATTAAAAAAAAACTCAAAAACTTTGAAAAACGATTAAATCTTTATTTGAGTCGATAGAACGGTCGATATAATTTAATGTTTAAAGATTAATTCATGTAAATGTTGGCCGCGGCTCCGCTTTAGGTGGCCCATGCGCAAGGTCCAATTTGGCACACTCTCTCCAACATATCGGCCGGTATCTCACGAATAAATGCTTCCAGTGCGTCAATCGTTGCTGGTTATCCCTGTAGACATTAGCCTTAACATGGCCCCACAAGAAATACTCCAACGGCGTTAAAATCACACGATCTAGGCGGCCAATTGACGGCCCCAAACGTGAGATAAACTGTTCACCGAACTCGCCTCTCAATAGGGCCATTGTTTCGTGTGCGGTGTGGCATGTGGCACCGTCTTGTTGAACCACATGTCAGCCAAGTCCAGCTCTTCCATTTTTTGCAAAAAAAGTTTGTTATCATCGCACGGTTAGCGCTCGCCATTCAACAGTTACGTTCCCGCCCATTGTCGTCTTTGAAGAAGTACGGCCGATGATGCCACCGGCCCATAATCCAAACCAAACAGTGATTTTTTCGGGATGCATTGGTAGCTCTTGCAATGCTTCTGGCTGGTCTTCACTCCAGATGCGGCAATTTTGCTTTGTTAACGTACCCATTCAACCAGAAATGAGCTTCGTCGCTGAACACAATTTTTCGATAAAATGTGGATCTTCCTCCAACTTTGCCAGCGCCCATTCACCAAATTGGGAAACGTTGTGGGAGGTCGTGTGGCTTCAATTCTTGCACCAGCTGTATCTTATAAGGTTTTACACCCAAATCCTGTCGCAAAATTTTCCAGGTAGTGGAGTAACAGAGGCCCAATTGCTGCGAACGGCGGCGAATCGACATTTCAGAGTCATCATTAACACTGGCGGATACAGTCGCAATATTTTCTTCAGTCCTCACTCTACGTCTGCGTGTTGGTGGTTTAATGTCCAGTAATGTAAACTGGGTTCGAAATTTAGTCACAAGCTTCCGAATAGCTCCCTCAGTAGGCCGACCAAATTGCCCATAAATTAGAAACAGTGCACTCTCTTAACCGAGCATGAATTTTGATAGTAAAATTCAATAATTTGCAAGCGTTGTTCGTTCGTAAGTCGATTCATGGTTAAATTATAGACCAAACTGAACAAGTTTGACAATGACACAAGACACGATTCACGCGTCATCTGTCAAAAACAGTGTTGCCAAAAAGATAATAACAAACAAATTACCCATATTAATGGCGACACCTGTAAGTTTTGCTAGTTGAATATGAAGGACTTCTCTTGTAACATTCATGGGTTAAAAATCAAGTATTAAGATAGAGTTTAAGCCAGAGCTTGGGTGATCTGACGAGAACGTATTTTATCTTCGTTCGGGCTTCCAATAAGTAACTGTACATCTGATCGGAAAAGTTTTCTGATACGTTTTTACATAATCTTATTCAAAAAGAGATGCCTGTTTCTAGACCCAAAGTCAAAAATTGTTTGGACAAGTTTTTAAAAAATTGTTTCTTTTGCTGCGGACAAAGGTCTTTAAGGTTTCTTGTGTCATTCTGAACAGAAAAAATTTGTCTGAACTGTTTATCTGTTGATAGTTTAAGAGATACAAGCGGTCTAATACTTGAGAAAGGTATTTAAGCGAAATACTCTCTTCAGCATATCTTTCAGTCCTTTGTCTGAGAGCTACACTTGACACATTCACCATTTTTGCAAACCAGACAAACTTCCCCTGTTTTACAGAAACTAATCATAGGATTGCTTTGGTACCATGAACACTTTTGTTCATATAAGTTTTTGGACAAATCGACTGGGAATCATTTAGTCCCGGGGTCCTTTGACAGTTTGAATGTTGCTAGTTGTAAAAATTCCCAATTCTAAGGCAATTGTCCGGATTTGTATGATTTTTTCACAACAGACAGGTTACTGGTTATACCTGAGAACCCTCTTCTTTAGGAGCAGAAATAGGATTGGTACCCGAGCGACGTACGTATCTGCTTATTGGCTTCATCTGTCCAAAGCCGCACATGTGCCTCTGGTTCTTATTGGTGGCTTCTAGTTGTGTATTCTTGTTACGTTACAGGTTATACCCGTATGTGATGGGCATATGTTTTTACTTAGGCGTTTTCGATGCACATCCACTTGGGCCTAATGAAGCCAATAACCGAAACGTACGTCGCTTCCGGTTACCAATCCTTCTATTTCTGCTACTATTCCTTTATTGTGGACGTACTCACGATTGTCCTTTGTTTCTCATTTAAGTTTCCGCAAGATTACTCGTCTTTCTTTGTATTCAGCACAAAGGCGCTGCTCACTTGGAACACCTCACATTAGCTGAACGCGACAGTCCTTTTCGAATGACCCTCGTAAGCACATAACCGTATGCACCTCACATGCCTCGGAAGGTGCTCCGGAATTTTGTTTTTCTGACTGCAAAGCCAGTAATCCAGTCTCTATTATATCCCCAAAGGGACCGTTCGTATGCTCTACATGCTAGAGATGTATCAAGCAGACAACACAGGTGACAAGAAACAGGGGATAACGACGGAATTGTTCCCCGCCTTCTAAATTGGGACGGTCTCCCTGAGTCCCTGATCCCATTATGTTTTGCAGGATATAAGACACTGAATTGCTGCATTCAAGCGAAAATCGTGCATTCATCAACTGATGTAACTAATATCATTAAAGATAGGTGTGCAACGAAATTTACGATGTGTAGAAAGACTTCACACGTTGCTTACAGACGCTGCTAACAACCTGCTAGGGGTAGTCTCCTGTAGGGATATGATAATAATAATGCTAAACAGATTTATTTACTTCTAAAACAAAGAACGGACCAACAGCCTAAAGAGACCTCTACGCACCATTTATAAACGCTAAATCTAGAAGGAGGAGAAGAACAAGACTGACCGACGAGCCGAGGAGTTTCCACCTCTTCCAAATACAGAATCCACTCTTTTACGCACTTCCCCCACTTCATCAAGACAAAATATCAGCAACACTATCTCTATTACCAAACCTTTGTCATCGATGGCGGAGGGACTACATTGTCGACCTCTGAGGTCACCACCCCGTCGGCCAATGTCATTTCTCAGCCATCTCGCTCAGCCGACGTGGCATCAAGCCCAACTTCACGCCAAAGGCGCGTAACGCTATTGTCCTGCGTGATAGGGCGAGGTGGCGTTACGTTAAACTACAAATTCATTTCCCTAGGCATTAAGTAATCGCCCGGTTACTGTCGATGCGGGAATAAGGATATTCCCAAATCTGAGGAAGACTATCGTAAGATCGTTCGACGGTTCTGAGAAGAAAAGTGCCCCATCGCACCTCCTCTCCCTTCGGAACGGAACATCCACGCGGTGGTTCGAGGAGTTCCGTCAACTTTTCGGATACTAAGATTAAGCGAGAACTTGAGCAGAGCTCTCCACATCATTTGGTTGAAGCGCAGCGGCGGCGCGCCCATGTCTTTGGTGGTCGTGATACTGCGCAAGACTGAAAAGTCTCAGCAAGTGTTCAACGAACACGAAGAACTGCTCGGACTGGCCATTCGAGTCGAAGTTCAAAGGAACTCCAGACTCATTGGGTAGTGTCACCGCTGCCAAAAGTACGGGCATGCGTAGTTATATTGCACATCCACGGTCCTGAATGTCTTCAGATGATGCCATGGAAAAACAGTTCTTTTCCAAATGTGATCTGGATAATGACCTCGACGAGGAACAGCACACCGTACGATCCATCAGGAGATATTTTAGAGCCAACGGCGTTAGCGGAGGCACTGAATCCTCTTCAGATGACTTTACTTTGGAAGATTCATCTGAGGCTCCACATAGCACATTAGCGGAACCCTCCGAGTTTCCACATTGCACACCAGCGGAGCTCCTAAGTCTTATTAAAGACCTCAAGGTACATAAAGCACCTGGGGAGAATGAAATCACCAACAAGGCGTTGAAGCTGCTCTTGCCGAAAGCCCTGACATATTTGGTGACAATAATCAATGCGACGCTCAGAATCCAGTACTTCCCTGCTGGGTGGAAGACCGCTGAGGTCATCATGATTTCAAAGAAGGTGGGTTCAATATTTCCTCAGGATTATCGTCCCATAAGTCTGCTGTCACCTCCTTCTAAGCTCGGCGAAAAGGTGATTTATCGTCATCTTGAAAATTTTTTTCGGTCCGAGCTTAGCACCGAGCTTCAGGCAGTCAGGTTGGTGGAACATGTAACCAGAGGGTTCGTCCTCAGCATGAGTACTGGCATCTTGCTTTTGGATGTCTCAAAAGCCTTTGATAAGGTTTGGCACGCGGGCCTCCTTTATAAACTAATCCAAAAGGGTTTTCCTTTTTAGCTTCTAAAATTACTGAAATCCTTTCTTGAAGGAAGGAAATTTCGGATCAAAGTTAACAATGTTTTATCAACAACACGGCCAGTACGGGCCAGTGTTACTACGGGTTCGGTCCTAGGACTAATCCTTTATTCGCTTTTTATCCATGATCTCCATTGTCCCAGCAACTGTGAAGTCTACCTCTATGCTGACGATACTGCACTTGTCGCCCAGTCGTGTACTGGTGATCTGGTTCACGATGGGTTGCAGAGTGCGGTGGAAGAAGTACTAGTGTGGGCGGAGCGGTGGCTGATTAAAATTAATCATTCGAAAACGCAGGCTATTTATTGTACCAAAAAACGTCGCGGCCCCCCAGCAAAGGCCTCTGTAGACGGCAATCGTGTACCATGGACAAATTCTGCCAAGTACCTCGGTGTCACCCTTGATAAAGGCAGAAACATAGAGCAGCCTTGAAAACAAAATTCCAAATTGCGCTTCGGCAACTATATCCTTTGTTATGTAGATCCTCCAAATTGAGCCTGATAAACAAAGTTCGCCTATATAAAATGATAATTAGACCAGCCATTACTTATGCATGTGTGGCTTGGTGTTTACTTGCTAAGACACATATGCAAAGTCTTCAAGTACTGCTAAGTAGAACTTTGCGAACAATTTGCTACGCTCCATTGTATGTCTGAAACGAGACACTACACAGGACCTTGACATTCCTTACTTGAGGGATTTTGACATAATCCCTTCAAGGCGCAGCGACGTTATAGTCAAGCGGAATCGCACAGCAACCGTCTATTGCGCGACTCAGTGGACTACACAGTGGAGCAAGTTCGTAAACATTCAAGGGACACGGCTCGCACTGTTATCAAAAAGCGAACTTTTAGTAAACTTAAAATTACACTCTAATGGAACCGAATCAAAATTTGTTTAGTTCACCTCAAAATTAATCCGTGTACTAAGCCAAAAAGCCTAGGTGTCTCCTCTTCAACTGAACACTTCTGTTTTTCTTTGCTCGTGTCCAACCATTTTTCTCCTCTTTCCCTTTCTCTTTTTCCTTGACATTGTCTGATTTCTGGGCAACCAGTACTGACAGATTCGACTGACGAACATTAGAGAGTGACTAATGGGCAAAGGTCCTACGGACCTCTCAGACAAACAAATGACGAACAGTAGTTTAATTAATTTTGACTCTTGAAGTAGTTTTGAGTGCAAATGACATCGACTTCAACACACATTTTGACAGTGAGGCTTTTGGGACCCTTACTGGGTGCAAATATATGTTATAAGGTTAGTCTATTACAAAAGATCAGTTGAGCCAAGAGAAGACACTTAGTGGAATGTCTTCACAATGCGCGGATCGTCTCCATCGTTTTGATTACACGATAGCGTACTGATATGGTAGAACGAGAAATCTCACGTATTTTGATGCGAAACCGCAAACTAGCCAAATATGCTGGTTAGCTTCAACATAGGTAGGATTTGACTATAGTATATTCAGATAAGAGATAGACCGGATGTAAACAAAAGGTTCGGGTGATTTTCACGCTAACGCCGCCGTCTCGACGTAAAACAGGAGCCCTCATTGGTCAATTCGCAATTAAATGCCTATGCCGAGCGGCAGAGCAGTCGTATCAAGGCAGAGTCACATTCAGGTTCAGACGTGTTACGTATGTCGTGTGCATCATTGCAATTTGATATTTCTTTGGACGTTTTCGTTTGTTATCTTATTAAGCTGTTGAGTTTGTCGTTGTTATTGTTATACCTTGTTATTGATTGTTATTGTTATCAACTGCTTGCGCAAAATGCCCAGTAGTACAGATACTGCCGATGAAGTTGTAAACTCCTGTAGTCCACCTAGGAAACGCTCTAAAAAAAGACACATGAGTGCAGAAATGAAAGAGGTCATTTTGAATATACTCGTATATAAGATCGAGCGCGAGGAGAACGAGGCATCAACCATCAAAGAAATTGTTGTGAAGGTTTCTCACAAAGTTGGGGTGTGTCGCGCATCAGTGTTTAATGTGTTAAGACAATACAAAAAAAATCACACCTTTTCTGAGCCAATGACCAGTAAACATCGCAAAAGTATTGTTAAATCATTGGATGAAGCTGATAAGCATGCGATTAGGAGGAAAGTGCATGAATTCTTCTTTAGGAATGAAATACCTACTAGATAAAGTACTCCAGGGGGTAAATGGAGATACAACGTTGCCAAATTTCAAACGATCAACTTTCCATGCGTTACTGAAGCATTTGAATCTCAAATGGAAAAAACGGGGTCGTAATAGTTTACTACTGGATAGAGAAGAAATTGTGCTATGGAGGAGGGATTATTTAACAAAAATTGGGAAATATAGAAATCAAAACAGGAAGATTTATTACCTTGATGAAACGTGGGTAAACGCAGGACACACTACAAGTGAAGTATGGGTTGATGATTCTGTAACTTCATCCAGGAGGGCCTTTCTAGATGGACTGTCCACCGGATTAAAAAATCCAGCAGGTAAATACGAGTAATAGACAACAAAAGGATGTTTTTCAAACCTTGGGAACAAGGTTCTAAACATTAATTCCAGGGGGCAGATAAAACATATTACAAGTAACAAAACTTTTATAACTTTCGATAAAATGCGTGGATGTTTTATTGTCATTTTCATTTGTTAGAACTTTTTTAAGCCATGTTTTTATGTGTTTTCGATATTTCAATAATTTTTTAATATAATCTTAACATATGTTTATTCAAAGTTTATTCAAATTCAAAAACCAATATAACTTACAAATTAAAAACAACCTTCAGTACAATTTAAATAAAAAAAGCTTCAAAAATACATGAGCTTGTATGCTCTTGCTACCCTGAATAACCAAGATTGCAACAGAAATCTGAGCAAAGATACTAGCATCAGATCTAGAACCAGCAAGTAACGGTATATGAATTGTGAAAATTCTGTATACTTTCGTAAAGGGTAAATGTCTGGATCTTGTCGTCACAAATTCTAAATTACGTTTCTGCATAAACAAATCTAAAATTCATAACAATAGTACAGAAGCATACTAGAAACACTCAGAAGTATAAATATAGAGTACATAAAATATGAATATCTGAAATGATAAGGGATATTTCGAGTAAGGTCAAACTATGTTGTTTAAACAATAAAAATTTTGCGTAAAGGTTAAGCAGAGAAACAAGAGTACTACAATTTACTACAAAAGAATTTACTACAAAATAGACACCTAAGCTATAAGCTTGTGTGTGTCATACAATATACAAATTCAATGCATGGCTAATGGTCATAAGGTATATTATGAGCAAATGTATATAAAAAAAAGAAATAAAAAAAACATTAGATAGAAACGAAATTACTGAGTTGAGTCAAGCTACCGTCGATGCAAGCCTGTTAAAGTTATTTAAGATGAACTTCTTAAATCTTTTTTTGAAACTATACTTCGAGAGGATTTTATATTCTAGGGGTAATTTATTATACAACCTAATCCCATCAAACTTTATGCATTTTTGGCAAACAGATTTATTCACTCTGCTATAGGTGTAACTTATATTTATTTTAGTTCTTTTTTCATAAGCGTGGCTGGTTGGAACATTGTTTCGGGAGTGAACAAATTTTAGAGCAGCAAAAATATATAAGCCTCTAACATTCAAAAGATCATTTTCAATGTAAACAAATCTGCAACTTGACCTACATGGGATACAAAAATAGTCCTGACAATATAATTTTGCGTGGTTTGTAGTATTTTCAAAGTACTAGTGTATGCGGCTCCCCAAATACTTATCCCGTAAGTTAGTAGAGACCCCACAAACGAGTTATATATTGAGAGAAGACTCTTTCTGCTTAAAATATTCCTAAGAATGAAAAACTTATGAATAATTCTCCTTAATTTCGATGCCAAAAGCTCGGCATGACTCTGCCATTTTAAATTACTGTCAACAATGATTCCTAAGTATCTAATAACTTCAACTCTTTCGACAGTGTCAGCACTATCATTTATAATTAATGTTCGGTGGTGTAATGGCATGCCTGCTTTGGTTGGAGAAAACGTTACATACTTAGTTTTAGAGATATTAAGTTTAAGTAAATTGTTATCCAACCAGCATTTGACTTTATTTAATGACAACTCGGCATTCCGTATTGCGTCGTCCCATGAATGACCAGTGCAAACTAAAACAGTATCGTCTGCATATGATATCATCTTACAGTTGAAATTACATCGAAGTAGTTCATTTATGTATATGAGGAACAGTGTTGGTCCCAAAACTGTCCCCTGAGGCACACCTATTTTGATCTTTTGAATGTTGCTTAAATCTGACCCTACCTTAACTTGTTGTAATCGATCAGCCAAATAGTTCACAAATAAGTTCAGAACTCCGCTACGCACTCCAACACTTTCTAGTTTCTTTAGTAAAATTGTATGAGATACTGAATCGAACGCCTTTTGAAGATCTAGGAAAACTGCAACAGTCTTATTTCCATCTTGAAAATTTTCAAGCACTTGTCCTGTAAGTTCTTGTAGAGATTGCTCTGTATTGCAATTTTTGCGGAACCCAAATTGACAGTTCGATATTATGTCATATTTCTCAAAAAACAAAGTCTGTTATTCAAAAACTTCTCAAAAATCTTCCCAAATACATTGATAACTGAAATAGGTCTATAATTGAACATATTGTCTTTACTTCCAGATTTAAATATTGGTGTCACTATGCTTTCTTTAAATTGGCGAGGAATTACTGAGGATTTGAAACAGAGGTTGATAATGTGAGTTATAGGGTGACTGATATACTTCATGATCATCTTGATAGTTTTAGTGTGTAAGCCATCTTTTCCGGGTGCGCTATTATTTTTCAGATTACAAACTATTTGTTGTAACTCTATGTTATCCACTGGAGTTAGAAACATAGAGTGAGCAATGTTGACGACATGAGGATCTGATGTATCAAGAATTGAGTTTTGATCAATCTGACTTGTTATTTGCTCACCTATATTTGCAGTACTTCTCAAATACGAATCCAAATTGTTTACAAAATCCTGTACATTTGTGGGATTAGGCCTATAGATACCAGTAATACTGAAACTGTTATTGTTGAAAATAAAGCTACAATTCAATGCCGTCACTACATCTATCATTTTTATGGAAACATTTACCGAAATGTCATCTCTTACATACATACAAACCCCATCGCATTTATTATACTTGGCTTCATTATAGTAAATTTGGAAGCCATTTATTTTATAACTGTCGATATTACTGATATTCCAGGTCTCACTCAAAACAATTATACCTATATTTTTATTCTTATTTAACACCGCTATGTTTATACAAAGCTCATCATAGTGAGCTTGCAAGCTCCTGATATTGTAATGAAGTATAGTGAAGTTTAACTTATCACTTCTCTCAAACAGAACACTATTTAATTCATCAAAATTAGAACAACTGATGGTCGTGATATTGTTATAATCCTCTAAAATATTCAAAGCTGTATCAATATCAGTCATATACAAATCAAGCTAAACTCAATATGAATGCAGAAAAAACTTAAACTGACTAAACTGCTACAACTAAACAATGGCTCAGTTATGCAACAAATTACAACTCGCAGAAAAGGAAGGAGAAAAAAAAGAAAAGAAAAAAGCACTAAACCAAAATGAAAAGCTCACGTCCACTCTGCAGCAACCTGAACAGTACATGGGATCATTACTGCTCCATGTTATTCAAGTCCTCTTCCGTTTTTATCTGTAACTTGTTTTCTCGCAGTTTCACCCATATTTCTCCGTTATAAAACCAGGTCTTCTGCTTACCCCATTTCTGCACCGCCTTTTGATACAGGTTATATCGAGCAGGCGACATATCTTCAGCAAGAGTTATTCCTGAACCTTTCAGCAACTTCCTGTTTCTCAGAAGCTTCATTTTCAGGTTATGAGAATTTACAGTAAACAAGACAGAACGCTGTTCGTTCTTCTTTCTTCCTAACCAAAAACAATTTTCAATATTCTCTTCCAAAACTCGAGTTTTTAGGTTATCTTCGCATAAGGTAAGCACCTGCTCCAGGACACTTGTACCATGTGATTCCTTCATGCCAACTATTCTAAAAGATTTCCGACGTGCATGTTGTTGAAATTTTTCCAAATCACACTCTAGCTTATTCTTAGCATGTCTCAGGTCCACTATTTGTTTTTCTAGCTCGACCATTTTTTGTTGAGATTCCTTTATACCCAGTTTCTGTTCGATTTTATCAGAAATAAGCGTTAAGAATTTATCATCACTGAGCAATCCTTCAATGGTTTGCTTTATAATTAATTTAACATCGGCCATTTGATCTCGTGTCAATGGCATATTGATTTAATGTCCACTAACCTTTCAGAGCAGAAGAACCAAATTATGTAATTCCACTTATTACTGGAGGTTTTTCAGATTTTCCGCAGAGCGACACACAGTACGTCTACTCTCTCACCATGTCTACTGTCGACTCGACTGTAGAATATTATAAACTTAAAAAAAGTTACTAAGTTTT